GAACACAAGCAGGGGGAATGGGAGAGGGAGAAGCAGGCTCCTGGCCAAGCAGGGAGCCCGATGCGGGGCTCGATCCCAGGACCCTGGAATCATGACCTGAGCCGAAGGCAGATGCTTAACGACTGAGCCACCCAGGCGCCCTCCTTGTTCGTTTGTTTTGTTTCTTAAATTCCACATATGAATGAAATCATATGGTATTTGTCTTTCTCTTAATGATTTAGTTCATTTAGCATTATACCCTCTAGATCCATCCATATTGTTGCAAAATGGCAAGATTTCATTCTTTTTCATGTCTGAGTAATATTACATTGTGTATATACACCACTTCTTTTATGTATGTATGTTTTTATATGTATTTATATATATATATTTTAAGATTTTATTTATTTATTTGAGAGAGAGAGACACAGCGAGAGAGAGAACACAAGCAGGGGGAGTGGGAGAGGGAGAAGCAGGCTTCCCGCGGGGCAAGGAGCCCGATGTCGGGCTCGATCCCAGGACCCTGGGATCATGACCTGAGCCGAAGGCAGACGCTTAAGGACTGAGCCACCCAGGTGCCCCGGGTCATTTTTTTTTTAATCAATTCAGTCACCCTGTCTTTTTTTTCACCATATGTGTTTTGATTGGAGCATTTACTTCATTTACACTTAGAGTAATTGATTGATATGTATGCTTTTTTGATCATTGTTTTTATAGTTGTCTTTTCTTTTTATTCTTGCTCTGTTCCCTTGATGCTTTATGACTTTCTTTAGTATTATGCTTAGATTCCTTTGTCTTAATTGTGTATCTATTACACGTTTTTGGTTTGTGATTACCATGATGTTCATTTATAACTTTCTATGTATGTAGCAATGTGTATTAAGTTGGTGGTCACTTAAGTTTTTTTTTTTAATTAATTTATTTTTTTATTCTTATGTTAATCCCCATACATTACATCATTAGTTTTAGATGAAGTGTTCCATGATTCATTGTTTGTGCATAACATCCAGTGCTCCATGCAGAATGTGCCCTCCTCAATACCCACCACCAAGCTAACCCTTAACACATACCAAAAGCACTACATTTGTACTCCCCCTTGCATGTTTTATGTGAATGATGTCATATTTTGTTTTTATTTTGTGTATTCCTTGACTTAAGTTTTTAGATATAATTGATTTTACTACTTTTATTTTTTTTATCCTTCATACTACCTAAATAAATGATGGAACTCATATCTTTACTGTGTGTTTGCTTTTACCAGTGTGTTTGCTTTTTCTTACTTCTAGTTATGGCCTTGTGTTTTCTTCTTAAATATGTCCATTTAACATTTCTTGTATAGTTGGTTTAGTGGTGATGAACTGTTTAAAGTTTTGTTTGTTTGTGAGACTCTTTCTTTCTCCTTTAATTCTGAATAACCTTGCCAGTAGAGTGTTTTTGGTGGTAGATTTTTTTCCTTTCAGCACTTTGAATATATCATGCCATTCTCTGTTGGCTTGCAGTTTTTGCTGAAAAATTAGCTGGTAGCCTTATTGTTTTTACCTTGCACATAACTGCTTTTCTCTTGCGGCTTTGAGATGCTCTCTTTATCTTTAATTTTTGACATTTTAATAATTGTGTTTCTTGGTGTGGACCATCTTGAGTTCATCTTCTTTGGGGCTGTCTATGCCTCCTGAACCTTGATGTCTCTTTTCTTCCCCAGATTAAGGGAAGTTTTCAGGTATTATTTCTTCAAGTTAGTTTTCTGCTTTTCCCTCTTTTCCCTTTCTGGGACCCCCGTTATGGAAATGTTATTATGCTTGATGTTGTCACAAAGGTATCTTGACCTATTCTCATTTTTTAAAAAGATTTTATTTATTTATTTGACAGAGAGAAAGAGCAGGAAAGCACAAGCAGGGGAAGTGGCAGAGGGAGAGGAAGAAGCAGGCTCCTGGCCGAGCAGGGAGCCTGATGCAGGGCCTGATCCCAGGACCCTGGAATCACAACTCGAGTCGAAGGCAGATGCCTAACCGACTGAGCCACCCAGGGTCCCTAGCCTATTCTCATTTTTAAAAATTGTTTTTTCTTGCTGCTCCACATGGTTGCTTTCTATTACCCAGTCTTCCAGCTTGCTGATCCATTCTTCTGCATCCTCTAATTTGCTTATTCCCTCTATAGTATATTTTTCACTTCAGTTATTGCATTCTTTAGCCCTGATTGGTTCTTTTATATATTTTCTATCTCTTTGTTATATTTCTCACTGAGTTCATCCATGTTCTCTCAAATCCAGTGAGTGTCTTTATGACCATTACTTTGAACTCTTTTGTCAGGTAGATTGCTTATCTTTGTTTCACTTAGGTCTTTTTCTGTGATTTTTTAAATACTCTTTCTTTCAGAATATATTCTTCTGTCTCATTTTGTCTTACTCTTTGTGTTTGTTTCTGTGTATTAACTAAGTCAGCTATCTATGTCTCCTGCTCTTGGAAGTACTGGCCTTATGTGGAAGACATCTTGTGATGCCCTTTAGTGTAATCCCTCCTGGTCACCAGAATCAATATACTCCAGAGCTGTCCCTGGTGTGGGCTTCATGCACCTTCTTGTTGTGGCTGAGCCACGTTGCTGCATTTGGGCTGGGGGGTCCGGCTGGTCCTCAGCTTGGTTGTCTGCAATTTTTGTACTCTTACTTTTATAAACTATTCAGTTCTCTCCCACACTGCAAGGCTTTCTAAGGTAAGCTTTTTTGTTGAGGGGGAGAATAACCCACCTCAGTCTGTGTCACTTTGGAGTGTGGATCATTTGGAGCTGAAGACTTGGGGCCCAGCAGACAAAGGAAGAACTTTCGTATTTTTTTTTAAGATTTTATTTATTTATTTATTTGACAGAGAGAGACAGTGAGAGAGGGAACACAAGCAGGGGGTGTGGGAGAGGGAAAAGCAGGCTTCCCGCTGAGCAGAGAGCCCGATGCAGGGCTCTATCCCAAGACCCTGGGATCATGACCTGAGCCGAAGGCAGATGCTTAACGACTGAGCCACCCAGGCGTCCCTCTTACTTGTTTTTCTTCTGTTAATCTGTGTTATGTCAATTTAATTATTAGAGCAGCTGAAAAACCTAGAAGGGAAGAAGGGAAATTTTTCTGCCCTTACAGTACTTATCCAAAAATATGTTTGTTTTAAATCTGTAACTCAGATTTAACTCAGGTCATGGATTTCATTTTTTTCTTTTTAAAAATCTGTTATGGAAGTACAGTTGACATACAATGTTATATTAGTATCAGGTGTACAATGTAGTGATTCAACAATTCTATACATTATTCATTGCTTACTTTGATAAGTGTTGTCACCATACGTTATTACAGTATGATTGACTATATTCCCTATGCTGTACTTTTCATCCCTGTGACTGATTGATTTTATGTATTTTGACCATTCCCTCACCTTCCCCTCCAGCAACCACCAATGTGTTCTCTGTATTTATGAGTTTATTCCTTTTGTTTGTTCAGTTGTTTTTTTATATTCCACATATAATGAAATCACATGGTATGTGTCTTTCTATGTGACTTATTTCACTTAACATAATGTTACCCTCTAGGTCCATCCATGTCATTGTAAATGTCAAGATTTCATTCTTTCTCATGGCTGAGTACTATTCCATTGCATATATATATACACCACATCTTCATCCATTTATATATGGATGGGCAATTGGGTTGTTTCCATATCTTGGCTATTACAAATAGTGCTGCAAAACACATAGGGGTACATATATCTTTTCTAGTTAGTGTTTTTGTTTTCTTTGGGTAAATACCCACTAGTGGAATTATTGGATTATATGGTATTTGTATTTTTAATTTTTTGAGGAATCTCCATACTGTTTTTCACAGTGGTTGCATCAATTTACATTTCCGTGAACAAAATATGAGGGTTTCCTTTTCTCCACATCCTCACAAACACTTGTTATTTCTTGCCTTTTTGATATTAGTTGGGCTATATATTTCTATTTGTTTGATCTTGTAAATATAAGGATTCAAAATTTGCCACCTCAAAATGTATTTTTGGCATGTAAATTATTATAGTGTGATTATTTTTTTTTAAGATTTTATTTATTTATTTGACAGAGAGAGTGAGAGAGAGAGCATGCATGCTCACAAGCAGGGGGAGCGGCAGAGGGAGAGAGAGAGAAGCAGGCTACCCCACTGAGCAGGGAGCCCAATGCGGGGCTTGATCCCAGGACCCTGGGATTATGACCTGAGCCGAAGGCAGACGCTTAACCGACTGAGCCACCCAGGTGCCCCTGTCTGATTGTTTCTATGAAATATAAAACTCAGGAAGAACCTTTGATCTTCCTTTTAACTGCCTAAAGGAATTTAGGTAGAAGACCTGCTCCAAGAGAGGGATGTCACCATAGGTAACTACAGTATAATACGAACTAAGTTTGATAGACAGGGAGGAATTTGGCAAGGCCTGTTTGTTTAAAGTCCTGTCATGTCCAATTGTTTCTGTATGGCCCAGCAACCATTTCTTTCATAAGGATTTACTCTTTTTCTTTTTTTTGAAGATGTTATTTATTTATTTGACAGAGAGAGGCACAGCGAGAGAGGGAACACAAGCAGGGGGAGTGGGAGAGGGAGAAGCAGGCTTCCCGCTGAGCAGGGAGCCCGATGCGCGGCTCGATCCCAGGACTCTGGGATCATGACCTGAGCCGAAGGCAGACGCTTAACGACTGAGCCTCCCAGGCACCCTAGGATTTACTCTTTTTCATCTCCTGTGAATTGCTTTCTTTTCCTTTGAAATTACTAACCCATACCTGTTTCTCCTTAGTCCAGAATGAAATATATACTTCATTTTGCCTGACTGTGTTTGGAAACTCTGTTTATGTGGATTCCTTGTAGGTACATAGTTTTGATTTTCGTCTGTTAATCTGTCTCATGTTAGTTTAATCCTTTGACCAGCCAGAAGAATCTTGAAGAATGGAGGAAATTTTTACTCCCCAACAGTTGTTGGGAACGGCCGGATAAATTCTAACTGGATGGACATTGCTCTCCCTAGGGCTGCTGCAGCTGTGAGGTTCTGGGACTTCTGACAAGTTGGCATAAGTTATCAGTTCTTACGACGTTAATCTACTGGGTCTTCGCCTGAAGGTATAACTGAATCAAGAGTGGTAAGCGTCCTTTTCTTTATCTAAATTTAGATTAGCAGGAAAAAATACTTGTGGAACTAGTTCCTTGGGTATACGGACTTTGGTAATACGTATTATTTGTTTTGGAAAGCAAATTAATATTCAGAGACTGAGTTTGTCTTTGATAATAATTTGTTTAGAAGAGGTTCACTGTGAGAATTTTATAAGCCAGTAGCATACAGGATAATGTCTCTTCATAAGCCAATAAAGAAATAATATAATCTAAATTTGTGATAGATTAATCACGCTACCGTTCTAGAAAGGGAGAAGTGAAAGGAATAAAGATCAAACTTAGCTGAGGTGTACCTTTTTAGGAGTTGGTACTCAGGAGAGACTGCTTAGCCAGCTGAAAGGCGAGGCCCACCCACCAGTGAAAAAGTAAAGGTCCCTGTTGCTAGAGTGCTTTGCTAGGGATTAATGGCACTATTGTGTTGGGCAAGAGGATTTTTATCTCAAAGCTGCTGTACAACTTTCACCACTGCTTGTAGAAGATTCACTTTTACCAAGAACAGGCGCTAATTGCCACAAGGTCTTCAGAGAGCTATTTTAGATCAGCAAAATGTTGCCTCTCCAAGACCAAACACTTGAATTGTCCTCATAAATGTAGTATTTACTCTCAAAATTTCCTCCTGCCATACTTGCTTCCTTATATTATGTTTTTATTGATATGCCCCCAGTGGAACCCCCAGCAGCTGAGCTATTGAGTTCTTAACGGTGAGAACAGATGACAGGACAACACCCTAACACAAATTACTTCATTCTTTTTTTTTTTTTAAGATTTTATTTATTTGACAGAGACACAGCGAAGAGAGGGAACACAAGCAGGGGGAGTGGGAGAGGGAGAAGCAGGCTTCCTGTGGAGCAGGGAGCCCGATGCGGGGCTCTATCCCAGGACCGCGGGATCATGACCTGAGCCGAAGGCAGACGCTTAATGACTGAGCCACCCAGGTGCCCCAAATTACTTCATTCTTATATCAAAACAACTTTATTTCTAAAAACTTTGTCTTTATCATAAACAAGTGGATTTGAAATCATATCATAACAATACACAACAATCCAATTTGTAATTTCAACTCACTCACACACTACTTAATCTTAAGGCCCTAATGCCCTGTACAAAGCTAAGTTCACAAAAATGTCTATCCACCCTCTGATTCTACATCACTTACAACCTTAATCACATGCAGTCATTTTGGGGGAGCATTCTTCCTTTGCTGCACATTCTTTTACACCATTGTTTAATGACCAATTTAAGCAACCATATTCCTAATATTCATAGCAAAACCATAATAAAGAACTCCTTAATATGCTATATCCAATTGCCAAATGACAACAAATTAAGCTTTTTAACCCATTCAGTTAAACTTCCTTGAGAATTGTATTTCCATCTATAAGCCATGTTTTATTTTAAGATTTTATTTATTTATTTGAGAGAGGGAGAGTGCATGAGAGAAAGAACAAGCAGGGGGAGTGGCAGAGGCAGAGGTAGAAGCAAGCTCCCGGCCGAACAGGGAGCCTGACTAGGGGCTCGATCCCAGGACCCTGGGATCATGACCTGAGCCGAAGGCAGACACTTAACCAACTGAGCCACCCAGGTGCCCCTATAAGCCGTTTTTATAAGGTTCCAGGGGTATAAGCACGTATAGTACATTGTATATGCAATATCAAGCACAGGTATGATTGCCATAATATCAGAATTGAAAGCTGTCATAACTTTGGGAATATAATTTTTTTGTCCTCTTTTCAATTCCTGCTGAGTTATTTTAACTTTATTAGTCTTATCTACCATGTTTCTTTATTTAAGTTTCTGTTGTATGATTTAAATTGACTAAATTTATTTTAAGAGTTTCAATGTGAGATATTTCTCTGGTTATTTTACTTTTTTATTTTATTAAAGTTTTTATTTTAATTCCAGTTAGTTAACATACAGTGTTGTATTAATTTCAGATGTACAGTATGATGATTCAACAATTACATACATTACCCAGTGGTCATCACAACAAGTGTATTCCTTAACCCCATCACCTATTTATCCATTCCTCCCTCCACCCACCTCCCCTCTGGTAGCCATCAGTTTGTTCTTGATAGTTAAGGGTCTGTTTCCTGGTTTGTCTCTGTTTTTTTCCCCTTTGCTCATTTGTTTTGTTTCTTAAATTTCACATGACTGAAATCACATGGTAGTTGTCTTTCTCTGACTGTCTTATTTTGCTTAGTATTATACTCTCTAGCTCCATCCAAGATTTCATTCTTTTTATGGCTGAATAATATTGTGTTGTATATATATACCATATCTTCTTTATCCATTCATCAAACGATGGACATTTGGGTTGCTTCCATAATTTGACTATTGTAAATAATGCTGCTATAAACATAGGAGTGCATGTATCCCTTTGAATTAGTGTTTTTGTATTTTTTGGGTAAATGCCCAGTAGTGCAATTGCTGGGTCAGTAGGGCAGTTTTATTTTTAAGTTTTGAGGAACCTTCATACTGTTTTCCACAGTGGCTACACAAGTTTGCATTCCCACCTATGGTACCCAAGGGTTCCTTTTTCTCCACATCCTCCCCAATACCTGTTATTTCTGGTGTTGTTGATTTTAGCCATTCTGATAGGTGTGAGGTGATATCTCACTGTACTTTTGATTTGCATTTCCCTAATGATGAGTGATGTTGAGCATCTTTTCATGTGCTTGTTGACTGTCTGTATGTCTTCTTTGGAAAAAAATGTCTGTTCACGTCCTCTGCCCATTTTTTAATTGGATTATTTGTTTTTTGGGGTGTTGAGTTGTATCAGTTCTTTATATATTTTGGATACTAACCCTTTATTGGATACATCATTTGCAAATATCTTCTTCCATTCCATAGGTTTTCTTTTAGTTTTGTTGATTGTCTCCTTCGCTGTAGAGAACCTTTTTATTTTGATGCAGTCCCAATAGTTGAGTTTCCCTTTTGTTTCCCTTGCCTCAAGAGACATACCTAGAAAAAAAGGTGTTGTGGCTAATGTCAGAGATGTTACTGTCTATGTTCTCTTCTAGGATTTTTATGGTTTCAGGTCCCACATTTATGTATTTAATCCATTTTGAATTTATTTTTGTGTATGGTATAAGACAGTGGTCCAGTTTCGTTCTTTTGCATGTTGCTGTCCAATTTTCCCAACACCATTTCATGAAGAGATTGTCTTTTCCCCATTGTATGTTCTTGCTTACTTTGTCATAAATTAATTGACCATAAAAGTATGGGTTTATTTCTGGGTTTTCTATTCTGTTCCATTGATTTTGTGTCTGTTTTTGTGCCAGTACCATACTGTTTTGATGACTATAGCTTTGTAATATAATTTGAAATCTGGAATTGTGATGCCTCTAGCTTTGTTTTTTCTTTTTCTTCTTCTTTTTGTTTTTCCTTTTTTTTTTTAGAGAGGGAGGGGGAGGGGGGAAGGAGGGGAGGGAGAGTGAGGCTCTTAAGCAGGTTCCATGCTCAGCAAGGAGCCCGAGGCAGGGCTCAATCTCACAACCTTGAAATCATGACCTGAGCCAAAATCAAGAGCCAGACACTTAACTGACTGAGCCACCCAGGTGCCCCAAGATTTTACTTTTTTTTTTTCTCAGTAGTCTCTACACCCAACATGGGGCTTGAACCCACACCCTGAGATCAAGAGTCATATGCTCTACTGACTAAAGCAGCCAGGCACTCCTTTGCTTTGCTTTTTTAAGATTGCTTTGGCTAGGGGTGCCTGGGTGACTCAATCGGTTAAGTGTCTGCCTTCATCTCAAGTCATGATCTCCAGGTCCTGGGATCGAGCCATGCGTTGGGCTCCCTGCTCAGCGGGGAGCCTGCTTCTCCCTCTGCCTCTGCCTCTCCCCCCTGCTTGTGCTCTCTCTCTGTCTGTCAAATAAATAAATAAATAAATAATCTTAAAAAAAAAGATTGCTTTGGCTATCAGAGTTTTTTGTGGTTCCATACAAATTTTAGGATTGTTTGTTCTAGTTTTGTAAAAATTGCTGTTGGTATTTTGATAGGGATTGCATTAAATGTGTGGATTGCTTTGGGTAGTATAGACATTTTTTGTACTTTAATTTTTTAATTTAAATTCAATTAGTTAACATATAATGTATTATTAGTTTTAGAGGTAGAGTTCAGTGATTCATCAGTCTTATATACATCAGTATAGTGCTCATTATATCATGTGCCCTCCTTAACAAACATTAAAAAAAAAAAGATTTTATTTATTTATTTGAGAGAGGGAGACCATAAGTGGGGGAGGGAGGGGCAGAAGGAGAGGGAGAAGCAGACTCCTCGCGGAGCAGGGAGACCAATGTGGGGCTCGATCCCAGGACCCCGGGATCATGACCTGAGCTGAATGCAAATGCTTAACCAAGCCAGGCGCCCCTAAACATTTTCTTTTTTAAGTACACTCTATGCCCAACGTGGGGCTTTAACTCATGACCCCAAGATCAAGGGTCACATGCTCTATTGACTGAGCCCCCCCAGGCACCCCCTAGTATATAGACTTTTTTTAAAAAAGATTTTATTTATTTAATTGACAGAGAGAGAGAGACAACGAGAGAGGGAACACAAGCAGGGGGAGTGGGAGAGGGAGAAGCAGGCTTCCCGCCGAGCAGGGAGCCCGATGTTGGGCTCGATCCCAGGACTCTGGGATCATGACCTGAGCCGAAGGCAGATGCTTAATGACTGAGCCACCCAGGTGCCCCCTAGTATAGACATTTTAACAATATTTGTTCTTCCAATCCGTGAGCATCGAATGTCTTTCCATTTCTTTGTTGTCTTGAATTTCTTTCATCAGTGTTGTATAATTTTTAGAGTACAGGTCTTTTACCTCTTTGGTTAGGTTTATTACTAGGTGTCTTATTATTTTTGGTGCATTTGTAAATGGGATTGCTTTCTTAATTTCTCTTTTTGCTGCTTCATTATTGGTGTATAGAAATGCAACAGATTTCTGTACATTGATTTTGTATCCTGTGACTTT